TATGTAATGGCTGAGATGATTCTAAATCAGCAATTCAGGGGTGCCTGGGTGGCTCAGTGGGTTAAAGCCTCTCCTTTCTGCTCAGGTCATGATCCCAGTGTCCTGGGATCAAGCCCTGCACATCAGGCTCTCTTCTCAGCAGGGAGCCTGCTTTCCCCTCTCTCTTTGGCTGCCTGTCTGCTTGTGGTTTGTCTGTCAAATAAATAAATAAAATCTTTTAAAAAATAAATAAAAATAAAAATAAACCAGCAATTCATGCTTAACTCTTTGTTGTCAGGGCTGTTTATTGAAGTGGAGGTTCAGAATTACAGAGTAGGTAAATGTGTTCTTGAATATTATGTTGCTGGGATAAAATCTGGCTTTGGGTACTTACTGTTTGACATCAGGCAAATTAGTTCTCTGTTCTCAATTTATTTGTGAAATGGAAATGAAAATAATCTCATAGATATTGAGAACTTAAATAAGATTAGAGCTTTGCACACAAACCTCTAAAATTAAATATCTGTCATTTAGTTAGTGGTTAAAGCATATGTGTTATTATTATTACTTACAGATACAGTAGGAATGAAGAAATGATAAAAGCTGCCTACCACCAGTGCTGTTTTCAGGTTGACTCATCCATCTAAGACCTAATCTTACTTTTTAATACTTGAGAATGTTCTAAGTGAATTTCCCAGAGGTTGTTGTTTGACTTGATGTACAAGCTGGATTCTGAGTTGTCTTGGTGGCAATGGTGGATAGATGTTTACTCTCTGGTTGTTTTGTGGTGGGGGTGTCCCTTCAACCTAGATATTCAGAAATGTATAATGTGACCCCCCCCCCATTAATAAGACCTGGTCTTTCAAAAAAAAAAAAGTGAAACTAATAAATGACCTCTTTTAGCCACCTTGCAGCGACAGCTCAAGACCACCTCTGCCTGCTACACCTACCTCCTCCTCTACTTCAAGAGCCTGATCTACTCCACCATCATCACCATCTATCTGTTTGGGAGACCAGCACTTGGTGGCAATGGGAAGAGTTCCTAGCACATGGTGGCACCAAGGATCCACTTTTCTCCATTGGCTATTGTTGTTAAAAATCTTTCTTTCTTGGTTTGCGTTATTTCAGTTCATACATGCATTTTTCAATTGTGTCATTTCTGCAGAATGGGTTTACAAATCACTGGGCAAACAGAAATTTTCAGTCTGCAGCAAGAACAAATTCTGCCATGATGCAGAGGCGGGGCCATGGGGCATCCGCAGTGTCTTCAACACCACTCTCTCCTTAATGTCCACCAGCTCCTCAGCCACCCAGTCCCCGTGCCTGAGTACAGCCAGCATGCAGCTTCTGTCCCCTGGGGCTCTTTAACCAGGTAATTGCCAGGAAGACTTTTATTCTGCACATCCAAAAATAAAAGAATACAAGAAGCCTTTTATTCTACACATAAGCTGCAATCTTTGCTACATGAATTTTGTACTATTTTACAAAATAGGCATAATAAAAACAATTAAATGTCTACTTTGGCCTCTGTGTACTTTCACTTGGTGCAACCTGAGAGTCCAAGGTGAAGGACAGCATGACAACTGAGCCTTCCAATTCAGCAGTGATTGTAATAATGGTCAATTCCACATTTCTAATTTTTTCTCTGAGGTAGTCCTTATGATGCCTTCTTTGGGGGCACCAGCTGCAAGAGAGCCACAGCCAGTGAAGGTGCCCTGGTATTTCTCCTTCAAAGGTCAGCAGATTCACTCATTTGGTTAAAGACGCTCCAGTGGTGACAGTATAACCTGTCGCATGACTGGTGGGTGTGCTCAGACCTGTCCCAGTGTGTCACGGGCACCACGTTCCTGATCTCACAAGAATCCCATGACAGCGGCACGAACACTGGAAAGGTAGGGTGGGGGAGGAGTTAAGTGCTTGGACTCTGAACCCCAAGTGCCTGGATTGAAATCTTTGGTCTACAGCTATTTGAACTCTCTGTGCCATTATTTTCTCATCTGTCAAATGGAGTTACAATGTGTCCTGGTCTCCTGGGGTTGTGTGGATGAGAAGAGTTAATTTTGGGGATACATGGGAGTCCTAAGCAGCATTAGCATCTACTGTTGGCAGCTCTACTTTAGAAATAATAGCTAACACACCCACCCAGCCACCCACACATACAAAAGGTATGCATTAAGATTTATGTGTGATACCATAGTACCATTCACAAAGGTCCCAAATTTACTCAAATGCCCAGTAAGAAACTAAAAAATAATTAAATGATATTATATGATGGAGTAGTATGCATCTACAAAAAATATAGGTTGTCAAAGAAATGTAAAATTAATCAGAAAGTGTTGCTGAAGAACTATGCATGCCAGGACCTTTCTAAAATTCTTTTTTTTTTAAAGATTTTATTTATTTATTTGACAGACAGAGATCATAAGTAGGCAGATAGGCAGAGAGAGAGAGGAGGAAGCAGGCTCCCCGCTGAGCAGAGAGCCCGATATGGGGCTCGATCCCAGGACCCTGGGATCATGACCTGAGCCCAAGGCAGAGGTTTTAACCCACTGAGCCACCCAGGCAACCCCCTTCTAAAATTCTTAAGAGTACAACTTCACATGGTTCCAAAATCAAAACACTCTAAAAATGAAACGGGAAATCTTCCTTCAACCACTGTATCAACCTCCCCAGCACTTACAGGTCACACTTCAGTTTCTTGTGCAACCCTCCAATTTTTTATTTATGCAATATGAAGGTACATATAAAAAACAAATCCACACGAACTAATTTTCTTCCTTCTAACACAAAGGGAGTGTACAACATACAATATTCTGCACTTCTCATTTATGTATCCTTGAGCTCTTTATATGTCAGTATACAGGGACATTTAGCTCCAAAGTATTTTACAGGTGACTCTAAACTTTCTAAGAGACATTATAAGGTCAGTTCCTTGTGATAGACCAATGGATTATTTCCAATCTTTTACTATTATAAAATATGCTGAAATTATAATATTGCCTTATGTCAATATATGCTTTATGTTACTATGGACATGTGGACTGGTCATTTTACTAGGTACTGTCAGCTTACCCGATAGAGATAGCACCATCATCCATTTCTACCACAATGTAGGCGAATGTCAGGACACTGCTGCCAAACATCAGGATTTTGCTAATCTGACACATGAAAAACAGTATTCCACCATGTTTTGAATTTGTCTCTGATGAAGATAACCATCTTTTCATTTTTTGAGTTTTTTATATTTGTGTGTGCAATATTCATTCAGTCCCTTGACCACAATTGCTATTGAGTAATAATACTAACAAGTATGACACTCATTTGTATGTGTGTGCGTCTCTTCAAACATGAGTATAAAACAAAATGTTCAATGTATGGTCAGTAGATGAACAAATAAGTGGTTGTTTTTCTTCTTTTCTAATGAATCCTTTTAAAGTAGAAGTTTTTATATATTAGAATAAAACAAGACCTCATTTAAAATTCGGAAGGAGGGGCACCTGGGTGGCTCAATGGGTTGAGCCTCTGTCTTGGCTCGGGTCATGATCTCAGGGTCCTGGGATTGAGCCCCACATCGGGCTCTCTGCTCAGTGGGGAGCCTGCTTCCCCCTCTGTCTCTGTCTGCCTACTTGTGACCCTTCTGTCAAATAAATAAATAAATAAAATCTTAAAATAAAATGGGGAAGTTTTTTTTCTTGTTTTTGTTTTTTTTTACTTAAAATCAGCTTTATTTTCTGTGAAACAGATTCTGTTGGAAACCAAGTAGAGGTTCCCATGTGGAAACAACATTAAGACCCATCAGATACAAGAAAGTGGAAATTTAATTTTGTTCTATTCATTGATTCTCAAGAATGTGATCAGACTTATTTAGGGCAAATGCCAGGCCTCTACTTAGAGATCTGAACCTGTTTCACATGTGGAAAGCACAGAGACACAGAGGGGAAACTAACAAATGACCTACAGCTCTGTGGGCTGATGTCACTGCTGGGGCTCTTAGGCAGTCTCCTGTGGCTTCCAACTCCCTTCCCCAACTGGCCCTGAGCTGCCCTGGACTGGGAAGTGCAGAGAGCGGGAGGGTGGTGGTGCTGGAGATCCTGTGGGTGGCAGGAGGGCCCTGGTGTGGCGATGGTGTTCTATTTTCTCAGGCTTGTTTTATCTATGTGCTCTCTCAAATGTGGTTGATTCGTGGAAAATGCTTGAAGTCAAACCAGTCCCTGCTGGTTGGGGCTTTGCAAGCATTGGCTTTGGGTGTTGTAAGATCAAATAAGGACAGTTAAACCACAACCAACTAGCTCACTTCCTAAAGGCCACAGAAATAGAAAAAACATATCCATCACACAGGCATGCTCCTGCTGTCAAACATACTCTCAGGCTGTGGGTGAGGGTCCCCTATTTTATACTGCGTTCATTCCAAGTAGCTGCTATGCGAGTTGGGATTGCATGACCAGGACTGTCAAGATGCTGCTCCCTCAGTCCACTCCGATGACACTGTTCTGGAGGAAACAGCATGCACACTCCTTGTAGTAGCACTAAGTGATTCCCGACATTCCACCAGGATCTGCGCTTTTCCGTGGCAGGTGATTTACCGAGGCTTCCATTTTCAGTCTCATTTTGTCAGTGTAGGCAGGGTAACACGAGATCCTTGCCGTGAAGCTACTAGCACAGGTGGACTGTAGTCGACACAGCAGCAGGTGCGTCTTTCCTCACAAGAACACAGACATACAGAGGCCCTGAGTTCAACTATGTCACAGGATGTCACAGGCTGAGTCATCTCAGTGCGGTCAGTAGAGTCAGGCTGAGCCAGGCTCCACAGAAGACATGCACGTCAGGTAAGTGTGCGGGGTGGGTGGGGGGACCAGACCTGATCCGACCTGCACAAAGGTCACTTTCTAGCCAAACCAGCCCCAGTCAGTACTCACAACTGAATTTTTCTTGAAGAACACGATGAATAAGGAAAGAAAACTAAGAGACACAGTGTCTTCGCATGAAGCATTAAGGGAAATATTCATGCTGGAAAGAAAGAGTTCACAATATAATTTAGTTTATTTTAATTCAAATTAGTCACACAAGGAAAATGATGGCAATGATTTCAGACTGTGGATTCAAAATAAGAGTCTCACACTTTTTTGATAAGAAAGATGCTATTTCATAATGAAAACAATATAAAAATGTCTGGTTACCCTATATATGTACTCACATTCCCTCCTGGCCCCCTCTGGTAATTCCAATACTACAAGCCAAATACATAATGAAAAACAAGAAAAATAAAATGAACCATTTTGATATATTGATATTTATTACTTTTTAAAACTGTACAAAGAGCGTATAAGCGTGAGTTAAAAAACACAAGGGAAATGTTGGATGTTAAAAAAGAAATACAAAAGAAATCTGAGACATGAAACAAAAAATTTCAAACTGTGGATCAAATAAAAAGATATTTTGCTTACTAAAAAAGTGTTATTCCAATATATTCAGAAGTCTTTTGATCAGGAATATAGCACAAGACTTTGCTCCCACTATTCATGAACAGATCAGACTCAGTCTCACTGAACACGGGATGGATCATCACATTATCTTACCAGCCACAGGCAGGTCCTAAATGTATGTGATCTGGTACAATGTCTATGAGGTATTACAATAAATAAATTCTTTATTAACTGTTCATTAAAGTCAGCAGTGGATGTCACCTTCAACTTTCGATAGCAAGACCCCAGCTCTGGTCCTTTTTTTTTTTCCTCCAGTGACTTTCAGTGATGAATTTTCACACTTGGAATAAAAGAGAAGAACGTAAAAATATTTGAGCTGCAGTGTTACAAAGTAAAGCGCTATGCTTTGCCTTATGTTTTTATGAGAAAGTCTGTGTGCTGAAGACGGGCTGTTACAGACACAAAAAGACCTGGGTGTGGCCACACAAGAATTTATCATAAGGCATATTAAAGCTTTACTATTCACAGGGCCCCATCTCAGCTGCGTCTCAACCACAGATGCAGAAAGCATGTCTCGAGCATATGGGGGTGCTGGGGGTGGAGAAACAGGGTCCACTCACTGGCCCAGGCTGCTCTGCAGCCGGTCCCCACCTGTCCCCGCTGCTCGGCAGCTCTGAGTCAGCCACCACCTTCTTCTGTCCTCACAAAAGTAGGCAGAGCTGCTGCTACTACAGTTCACTTTGTGTTTATTTGCTGGCATTTCTAAGGCGGAAGTGATTCCCTTTGATGATCTGAACAACAGGCTCCACCCTGAGGCCCATCACCTCCTGCTCTGATTGGACCACACGTTTTCATCTCAGAAGCTCCACAGCATGTGGGGGACATCGGGGTGCAGGGCCCAGGAGGACCCTGATACCAGACCAGGCGGGCCTGAGTCCCAGCTCTGCCCCTTGCCTGCTGTGCTGTCTGGGATGGTCACTCACCATTCTAGGCCCATGGGCTCAGGTGTAGACAGACACTCAGTCCCCACATCCCATCCCAACTGCTACCCTCACACAGTTATTAGGGTCTGTAACTGAACAGCATCTGACATGGAGACATGCTGGCTAAGTAAACAATAATGAACTCGTCCTTATTCTGTAGAAATGTAGATGGTAACTAGACTAGTTAGATGGCGATCACACTGTAGTGATTTGTACCATATACAAATACCAAATTCTAATGTTATACACCTGAAACTTACTTGTTATATGCCAATTTTACCTCAAAAAAAAAAAATTTGAACTCTGAGGTATTTTTCATACTTTACAAATTCACATCTATGCAAAAGAATGTTAAATTTTACATGAATAAAATAATTATAAGTTCACGTGACTAGGATAAATCTGACTATATATTTGTACTCATATTATTGAATTTGACCTTGAAAGTACCCAAAGAAATGATCCAGTTTTTTGTTACACTTCTACTTTCAAACACTTACTTTAACAAAAGTAGTACTCATAGTTCCAAAAGTGGTTTTTCGCTGTCCTGTTTTTCTTCAGCTTCTTCCTCAGATCCTAAAAGGTAGGGAAAAGGGAAGGAGAGAAAAAAATGGTGAACCTTATATCATTCATACATTCAAGCCCACCATTTCACTCTGGAATTATTTGTTTAGGAAGTATGTCTAACGAAATGATATTTTTCATTAAGTAGATTTTGCTAAAAATGAGGGAAAAAAATCTAGACACCTGAGGCTAGAAGAAAAGTTTAAAAATTATTTTATTTCCACAAAATATTTCATATCCACTTGCATTTATGTAGTTCATTACAGCATGGAAAATGCACATTTTATAAAGTAAGAGCAAATACATAATGAAAAGAACTATATCCAATAGGATCATAATTACAAAAATAAAAACCCAAGTACATATGTGCCAATCAGAAAGCCTACAAGAAAATATCCAGAGGACAGAATCATTTCTGGATATTCCAAAACGTGTACAACAAACGGACTTTGTAATTTTTAAATTATATATATTTTTAAAAAGGGTCTAAATAAATACCTTTATTTATACCCTTTATACCCATAATAATAAATTATGTGGAATTACAAACACAAAACCAGCAGGAAGACAAACTGCTGTCTACACTGATGTGGCACAGAGTGAAGGACAGGTTCTGTGATTGCTGTTCTGTGCACATTTCTATAAAAGCATGTGATACTCTCACAGTCAGGGAAGGAACACAAAAAGGGATCCATGGAAAGACAAGGTAGCAGGTGAGGGATAGAGCCGACTCACACACAAAGGAGCAGCCTGCCTCACTGTTGCTTTCCTCTGGTCAGATACCACACCCCAAACAGCACATTTCTGCTTCTGAGAATGTCTGCCTCATTAGAGCCAAGAACTAATTTGGTACAAGAGAACAGTTATAGCAGAGAATCTTAAGAAAAAATTGTACCTTATGTCTTAACCTCATAAATGTCACACGGCTCAGGTTAAGCTTGTGGTAACATTCATAGATGAAGGTATAGGGGTTGGAAGGCTTCACTTTTCATCCTATTGAATTGCTGTAAATCACAGTCACCCTGGGGCAGACTAAATGCCTTCTCACTTTGAAATGAGTCTAAGGCAGAATGTCATACCAAGTCTTCCTGCTTCTGGACTTAACTGTCCACCTGTCAGACAAATGGCACTTGAGCCACAAGAGCTGACATGTCTTGTAATTATTTGGGAGTTCTAAATAAAGCCAAACTTTTAATTAAAACATAGAATATGTATGTTTCACATAATTTAAAAATAAATGCTAGCAAGGCCATCTTGTTATGGTCAAGTGAAGTTAACAAATCTCCCTGAAAAGCAACTATAAAACTGGACTCGATGAACAAAATTAACCATTTCAGCAGTTGGGCATATGTCCAAAATACACAACAGTCAGAAGTGATTTTGCTTGAAAAACTGCAGATCGGAAACAACAGTAGTGCTCTTGCCTGGAGCTGAGCCCATTCCTCACCACCTCCCAATACCCAGCTCCACGGGCATGAAGATTTTTCTAAGACAGGATGGCTCATGAGGACTAGCAGTACAATTACACAGTGTAAGGAGCTGGGTTAATTTGGGATGGGGAAGCATGCGAAGGTGAGCTGACAAGCTGTGTGGTGTGCAAGCAGGAAGGCCAGGGGCTCTGCTGGTCTGCGGTTGGGGTCATGACTGCAGCAAGCATGTGCTCGGCTGAAGCTGTGTGCGTGCTTAGAGAGACTCAAAGAGCCAAAACCAGCCGCACACTTCCTGCTCGACCCTGAGGCTTTGGATATATTGCAGAGGAGATGTGAAAAGACTCGGCAAATAGTACAAGTAGAAGAAAACTTGAAATTCCCTAAAATCTGAATATGCTACTCAATATAAACACATAACTATCTGTCAGAGGATGGAGGTCTTTATTTAAATTTCCAGTATGATTAATGTATACTGCTATATTTGTTTCAGATGTACAATATAGTGATTCACCAATCCCAAACATTACTCAGTGTTTATCCCAATAAATGTACTCTTAATCCCGTTCACCTATTTCACCTACCTGCCTACCTACCTCCCACTCTGGTAAAAAGTTTGTTTTCTATATTTAAAAGTCTGTTTTTTTGTCTTTTTTTCTTTCTTATGTTCTACAAATGAGTGAAACCATACGGTATTTGTCTTTTTCTAACTAATTTATTTCACGTAACAGAGGCTGGAAGTCTTATCAAGGTGCCTGAGCACAACCTCCACCCAGTCACTGGCTATGACTAAACCACATAGACACCGAGGGGGTCCCTGGGGAGCTAAGCTTAAAAATAACGGACTAGAGCCACTGAGAGACACAAACTACAGGGGACATAATTTCACAGATTTAGCCTAAGCAATTTTTTAAGCAAAAGAAGAACAATAAAAGCAACCTTTTGGGGAAAAAAGACTCTAGAGTTGCTACAATGTTTTTTCCACAAAATATTTTTCAATTTAAAAAAAAAAATAAAATAAAAAGAAAGGCAAAGAATCAACAATTGGGTGGCGGAAACCCTGACAATTCAATATAAACTGTCTCTGAGTGTGTCCAGGTTTTTTATTTAGCAGACAAAGACTTCAAAGCAGCTATTATAAATATGTTCAAGAAAATATGGAAAGCCATGTTTAAAGAAGTAAAGTATGTCAATAATAAATGAACACACAGATATTCTAAAGGATGCAATAAATTATAAAAAAGAAAAGATTCTTTAGAAGTAAAATGTAGAAGAGAAAAATATAATAATTTAAGTATTCTCCAGAGGAGTTTAAGAAAATATTCAAATTGGCAGAAGAAATAATCTGTGAACCTGAAGATAGCACTGTATGTTATCCAAGCTGAGTAACAGAGGAAAAGACTGAAGAAAAAATGAACAGAGCTCAGAGGTCAATGAAATAGCATTAATGGAATGGGACTCCCAGATAGAGCAGAAGAAAAAAAAGAACAGGAAAAATGTTTGAAGAAACAATGGCCCAAACTCCCTTATGGCTAACACGTCCAATATTGTTGAGAAATATTAATCTATAAGTCTAATAAAGTAAAGGAATACCAATTAATATATATACAAAAATATTCAACTAATAGGCAACCTTCTGAAAGCCAAGAGTGCATGAAAATAAATACATAATACATCAAATCTCATAAGAGGTTGCTAAATGTCTAGAAGAAAATTAATAGCTTTAAATACCTACATTAGAAAAGAAGAAAAATGTAAACTCCAACATGGAAGAGAAGAGCAATCTAAACCCTCCCAAACACAGTAAGGGAAATAAAAACTGGAACAGAAATAACTGAAGTAGAATGCAGAAAAACAAGAGAGAAATACCAATGTAAACCAGCTGGTTTTTTGAAAATACTTGAAAATATCAGTAAGTTTGATAAACCTTAACCTAGAGTTACAAAGAGGGAAGGAGAGAAGACACAAATTACCAAAACTAGTAAAAAAGAACATCACTACCAATTCTGCAGAAATTAAAATATTAGGAATATTAATTAATTAATTAAATATTAAATATTAGGGATTGTTAATTAGGAATAATTAAATAATTAGGAATTAAAATATTAGGAATAATTTATGTCAACAACTAAGTAATTTAGAAAAAATTATGAATTCCTATAAATTCACAAATTATCAAAAAAAAAAGTTTTTATGAATACATCTATATATAAAAGGTAAAGAAACTGAATGAGTAATTAGAAGTCTTCTCACAAAGGTAACTCTTGTTCCAGATGGTTTCATTGATGAATCTATCAAACATTTAAAGAAGAAATAATATTAATCACTCATAAGAAGAATTCATTCAGAAAATAGTATGTTTGGAAAGACTTTCTAATGTATTCTATGAGGTCAGCATATTAAAGGTAAGGACATAACAAGAGAATTATAGACCAAAAGGTAAAATATCATGAGCATATGTTTTATATCTACACATAGGTACAAACATTCTCAGGAAAATATTAGCAAATCAAATCCAGAAAACTACTACTGGATTATACAACATGACCAAGTCGGATTTATCCTTTATATATAAACAGTTGATGTGATATACAGATAGTACTTAATGTGTGTCATCATATCAACTGAATATAGGATAAAAACCATACTATCATTCAACAGATGCATATAAAGCAGGTGAAACGTTTAATGTTTATTCATGAGGAAAACTCTCACACTAAGAATAAAAGCAAACTTCTTCAACCTGATCAAGGGCATCTGTGAAAACCCACAGCTGACATCATACTTAAAGCTGAAAGACTGACCACGTCCCCCCCAAAGACCAGGAACAAGACAGGGTGTGTGGTCTTGATATTTCTATTTAACACAGTACTATGGTTCTAGACAGTGCAGCTAGAAAAAAAAATAAAATACATTTAACAGAAGAAAATTAAAAGTAAAAAAGTCTTTAACCACAGATGACATGATCTTGTATGTAGATAACGCCATGGAATCTACATGTACACAAAACCAAAATTAGAACTCATGAACAAGCTTAGCATTGTCACAAGGTACACATTCCATATACAAAATATCAGTTAGATTTTTATATACTAGCATGGAAAACTGAAAATGAAATTAAGGAAACAATTCCATTTACTATAGAACTAAAAAGGATAAAACGCTTAGGAATTACCTTAACAAAAGAAAAGCAAAACTTATATGCTGAAAATTACAAAACAATGCAGAGAAAAATTAAAGGATATCTAAATAAATCCAGAGAGGGTCCATGTTCATGGATTAGAAGATTCAATATTGTGACGCCAATTCTTCCCAAATTCATCTATAAATCCAATATAGTAGGCTTTACTCACAAAAATCAACAAGCTCAACCCAAAATTGACATGAAGACCCAAAAGACCTAGAATAGACAAAATAATGTTGAAAAAGAACAAAGTTGGAGAATTGATGTGGTCACCCTACAGAAGCAGTTGGGGGGCGCACCCAAAATTTGATTTGGATGATGATACTGATGATGCCGCACACACAGAGGGTGCGGAAAGCTTCGTCACTGACACATGAGGTCCTGGGGACAGCACAGCGGGC